GCAGTGGACCCTCCCTCTGTGTGTGAAGGGGCATGGACCCTCCCGCTGCGTAATGCGGGTCAGTGGACCCTCCCTTTGTGTGTGAAGGGGCATGGACCCTCCCGCTGCGTAATGAGGAGCAGTGGACCCTCCCTGTGTGTGTGGAGGGGCACTGGACCCTCCCGCTGTGTAATGAGGGTCAGTGCACCCTCCCTCTGTGTGTGGGGGGCAGTGGACCCTCCTTCTCTGTTTCAGTAGATCAGAAGGACTGAATGATCGTCCATCTACAGTGGGAATCTGTTCAGGACCATTCATTGTGTTTGAACTTTTTCACTCTGATCTATAAATAGAGCATAAAAACAGAGACCTAGAAGATCTACTTCCCCGCTGGTTGGCCACTGCTAGAACCAGAACCATGATTAAAAACACTGATCCAAACCCAACAGAAGCTGTGAGGAACTCCAGAGGTGTTCTACTGCGAACCTTTATCCCTCCAGTTAGGTGGCTCCTCAGCTCTAATGCTCCCCATCATCAAATAACCCAGATGGTGTAAACCTGCCCCACCCTGGCTGGAGGCGACATCAGTTGAATTCTGCTCTCAGCAGGAGATACTCATTTCCTGGATTATAGCCTCAGCATCTGAAGCTCCTCATTCAGACATTCAGCATCAGCACCAGAGTAGAGGTGCAGGGGGAAGATGTTGGTGAAAAGGTGAGAAGCTCCTTCTGTAGACCCATGTTCTGAACAGAATGGCATCTGTTCCAGGTGTTTAATGGCCTCGGTGCCGACGCCCCTCGCCTCCAGCGATTCTGTGGGACCGTGTCTCCTGGGACTCAGGTCAAGTCATCTGGGAACGCCATGGCAGTGGTGTTCCGCACCGATGCTTCTGTGTCCAGCGGAGGCTTCATGGCTACGTACTCCTCAGATGAGCCTGCAGGTGAGCTGGTTCCTCAATCCATCCTGCCAGCAGGGAGGCCTCCCCGTGTTTCCTCATTGGTGTCATTCCTCGTTGTTCTGTCAGAATGTGGTGGGATTCTGAATGACCCATCAGGAGGAAACTTCACCTCCCCTGGATACCTGGTGTCCAACTACAGCAACAACCTGAACTGTGAGTGGTTGATCCAGAACCCGCTACACATCAACTCCTCCATCGTGGTCCTTATTGAAGACCTGCACCTGGAAAACCATCAGACCTGCGAGCTGGACTACCTCCAGTTCCGCCTGGGTGAGTTCTGCCAACATGGACGCCACCTTTTACCTTCCAACTTCCTGTTTATCTCAGGATACTTTGAGGCTGCTTCCTGCCTCCTGTTTCCATCCTCAAGTATGTCCTTAGTTCCTGTCCAATGGGGGCGAGGCCTTCCCAGAATCCAGCATTGCTACATTCTGCAGAACGCTGAATCTCATTAAGCTAGCGACCGGGAGGGATCCTCTAAAACCCTGGTTCTATTTCATCCCTACTGACCACCAGTGGCGGTGCTTCAAGCATTGAATGATCATTCTTGCGCATGCGCAGGTCCAATATTAACGACAGCAAAGTCACCTGTGACCTGCCGGGGGCCCACGTGACTCTATTTAGTCACATGGCATCCGGCATTCAATCCCAATTGTTCTTCTTGCATGCAGGTGTGGTTGCGTGAAGCTGGTTGCTTCTGTGTGTACCACTGATATCCTAGCTCCTTGTTGCCGGCAGCCCCGTGAACGGGTTTGGTCGGAGCTGCAGGTAAGTCTCGCCCTCCAGGGACTGCACAAGCTGTTTATTTCTTTCTTTACCCTTACCAGATCTGAGGTTGCCTCTGCAACCACTGGTAGGCTTTGTTCTTTACTAATAGCAGTAGTCTACTGCTTGCATTGTTTATCTGACTCACAAATAGCATTTTTGCTCGCGTTGAGTTCTCTTTAAGTTATTTTTTGACTCACCAGTAGCATTTCCTGCTCATGCTGAGTTCTCTATATGTTGTTTTTCTGACTCACCAGTAGCATTTCTGCTCGCGTTGAGTTCTCTTTAAGTTATTTTTTGACTCACCAGTAGCATTTTTCTGCTCATGCTGAGTTCTCTATATGTTGTTTATCTGACTCACCAGTAGCATTTCTGCTCGCGTTGAGTTCTCTTTAAGTTATTTTTTGACTCACCAGTAGCGTTTCTGCTCGTTCTGAGTTCATCTTTAGTTAATTAATCGGACCCGGGGTAATCACGCAGGCAAGGTGCAAACGGCCTACAGTGGCTGCACCTTCGGCGCTGGCGAAGCGAGCCAGGCGGACCAATGCAGGGAGGTTGTCCACAAGAGTGGATCATCTCAGCACCGAGCTGGCCCAAATGAGGGGCCCTTTTCCAGTCCTTTCAGGCTGGTGATGATTGTAGCACAGCTCTCCCTCCAGGGCAGGGTGGAGCATCAATCGATGATGATGCTATTTTGGTGGCTGCCTCTGACACCCATTTTTCTGAGAACCTTCCAGGGCTGGGCTCCGGGGCCTCTGGGTCTGAATCAATTTCCACCCAGGAGGATACGGGGTAGTCTTTGACAGCTGCCATTCTAACAGCCCTTGCCCTCTTACATATTGATGTCCCTCCGGCCAAGCCTCCAGCTTCCAGTGCCTTCTTTAAACAAAGTAGATCTGAGACTGCCTTTGTGCTTCCTCCCTCAGGGGAGTATACACGGGAACTACGTGATTGCTGGTCAAACACCAAGGCACTTTCACCTCTGAAAACAGATGGCAGGGTTCTGGCGGCTATGCAGGAGTCACCAAGGTTTGACTTGGGGCAGATGCCAGCTGTGAAACCTGGTATTGCCTCTCTTATTGTCTCACCTGATGAGGCTTTGCAGCCCAGTGCAGGTTGTCTGCACCTTCAGTGTCACGTTACTGATGACCTTCTCTGCAAGGCCTATGACTCTGGGGCCCACTTGGGCCAGATTGGGAACTCTCTCCCAATTTATATTGGCCCTGTCTTCCTCCTTGGAATCTTTTCCACTGGATCACGCCACGCAAGGCCTGGTCAATGCATCTCTGCAGGACTTTGCTCTCATGTCAACGGAGCTTGGGTGCACTCTTTCAACGCTGGTTCACGCACACCACCAGGTCTGGTTGGCGCAGTTGCAGCTTACCAAGCCCTGTAGGTCATCTCATCCCTTTCAGGCTGCACAGTCTGGTCGGCATCCTCCCCATCCTTCAAGGGGCCAGGTGATGCCTCTGGGCCTGCGGTTGGTTATTTTATCCCGGGACAGCTCAGCTTCTGGGCTACCCACACCCCAGATGTGTGGGTGTTTTCCACCCATCCCTGGCCTGGTGAAGGCACAGGCACTGGACCAAGAGATCTGCACCTTGCTGGCCACGGGCGCTATATTGCCTGTGGACCCCCTGCAGGATCCAGGGGGCTTTTGTTCCATGTATTTTCTGGTTCCGAAGAAGACCGGGGATCTACATCCAGTCTTGGACCTGAGAGGCCTGAATATCTACCTGAAGGCCATGCCTTTTCATATGCTCACCACAAAGGAAGTGTTGCAGGCAATTTTCTCCGGGCGATTGGTTTACTTCCATAGATCTCATGAATGCTTATTTTCATGTTCCAATCGCTTCACCCCATTGGCGGTTTCTTCGTTTTGCCTTTCAGGTGAGGCACTTCCAGTTCAGGGTCCTCCCGTTCAGACTTTCACTGTCTCCCAGGGTGTTATCCTGATGTGTTGCAGCGGCCCTCTCTCCGCTGCGTGGACAAGGAATAAAGATCCTCCCGTATCTGGATGACTCGTTCATTTGTGCCACGACACAGGACCAGGCGGTTTGAGATACTTGGTTAGTGCTCCATCATGTGGGATGCTTGGGCTTAAAGGTGAACATGGAGAAAAGCAGTCTGACTCCCTCACTGGAGACTATGTTCATGGGCATCACCCCAGCTGGTGAACAGCGTATCGAGCATGCTCCTGGAATTCAGGCACGGCATGGCTCTACCTCTTGTGCTGTATCTTCGCTTTCTGACATGCTTACAGCTGCATGCGCCATAGTGCCCTTGTGGCTGTTGTATTGCGGCCCCTCCAGATGTGGTTCAACAGCTTCAATCTGGACCCCACACAACTGGCCCGGGACCCATCTTTATGCCTTTCCAACATTCAGCCTGCTGTTTCAGACTCTCCTAAGGGTATGTCAGGAAGGGCATAGGGTTCTGCTGGTAGCCCCCTTCTGGCCAGCAAGGACTTGGTTTCCTCTACTGCGCGAGCTGAGCTCTGGCTCGCCAATGCGTCTCCCCCCCAGGAAGGATCTTCTTTCCCAGATGGGGGGCCAGATCTTTCACCCTGAACTGGACTGGCTCCAGCTCTGGATTTGGCCCCTTCAAGGCAGGAGCCCACTTTCTCGAGATACACTTGGTCTGTAGGGCATACAATGGCTAACACATGAGCACAGTTCACGCAGGCTGCCCATGTTAACAAGTGGGCGGTCTTTGTGACCTGGTTGCATAATAAGGGACAGGATTTAGCGCAGTGTTCAGTCTCTGACATACTGACCTTCCTGCAGGCATTTATGGATAAGGGACTGCCTCTGTCTACCTTAAAAGTGTATGTGGCTGCCATTTCCTGTTGGCATAATTTGTTAAATGGTTGCTAAGTTGGCCTAGACAAGGCTGTTTTGCTGTTTCTGAGGGATGCTTGGCGTCTGCATCCACCCAACCGCCCCGTGGCACCAACATGGGACCTTTCTCTGGTGCTTTAGGCACTTTGATCTCTCGCATTTTAGCCCATGGTATCAGCAAATCTCATATGGCTCTCACTAAAGGCAGTGTTCCTTTTGGTTATGGTTTCCGCAAAGTGTGCAGGTGAGTTGTAGGCTCTCTCAATGGCTGTTCCCTGCTGCCGGTAGAATCCTGATAGCTCAGGTGTTACACTGTGGCCTGATGTAGCATTTATCCCTAAGGTGCCCCTTGCAGCTGGCAGTACCCAGCTGCTCCGTCTTGCTCGGTTGGACACTGGATCCCTCCCTGAACCACTGTGCCCTGTTTGTGCCCTTGAGGCATATATCAATGCCATGGCATCCTTCCAAAAATATCCTTTTGTTTGCTACACCGGCTCACTGAATGGTCAGCCACTTTCTAAGCAGCGGCTTGCACACTGGGTTGTGGATTTGATCTTAAGGCTTATACCTTGCAGGACCGGCCGCTGCCGACAGGAGTGAAGTGCTACTCTACAAGGGGCATGTTAACATTTGCTGCCATGACAGGGGTGCCATTGGATGTTATATGCCGTGCGGCCTCCTGGAAATCACCTACTACTTTACTCGGTTTTACAGGGTGAATGTGGCTGAGCCCCATTCCCTTCAAGGAATCCTGGAGCAGCATGCCTCTAAATCACATTACGTGGGTGGTGTAAGGGTTGTCCCTTGACTGTTGCCGATTCCTCGTTACCTTGTTGACATAAGTTATCCAGCACTTCAAGCACTGTCTCTGGTGTTCTGTAGGGATGAAATAGAACAAAAGTTACTACTGTAACTACCTTTCTATGAATCCCGAATGACCGGCAGAGTAGTTGGTCCCTATTGATCTCTGCTTCTTGTGAGAAGATCGAGGGATTGAACGCCAGGTACCATTTGGCTAAACAGAGTCCAGTGGGTCCCTGGCACGTCACAGGTGACTTTGTTGTCATTAATACTTGAGCTGCGCTGGCAAAAGCATGATCATCTAGTGCTTGAAGTACCGCCTCTGGCAGTCATCCGGGATTCATAGAACGGTAGTTACAGTAGTAACTTTTGTTCAGTTCTACAAATGTAATAGCAAATTAAATAGAAACAAAATGAAAGCAGACACCATGACAGCTTAGCTGTTAGCCTGTCAAAGATTAGTTAGCATAGCTAGGCTACGTCCTCCCACTGCCATGCTGGTTTAGTTCAGCTGCTTCCATCACAGCTAGAAGTCCCGCCCTAAACATTAATACTGCAGCGTGATTGGCCGACCTGTTCTTTTTTCTTTCCTCTTAAGACTCTTGCTGCCTCCTTTTATTTTGACCTTTTATGTCCTCGGGAACACTTTGGAAAGGTTGTTTTAAATCTGCAATTTATTAATTTTCAGAGACTATCTTAGTTTACAATTTTCAGCCAGATTGGATCACAGTGAGTCAGCAGATCTGATCACAGATCTGGAAGGAGGTTTGAATTTAAACAGATGTTTTTTAGTGAGCACTTAGATTTCTTATCACCAAACACACTTCTAACAGCACCAATCATACGGACTCACACACTGTGCACATCACAGCTCTTCAAAGACACAAACATTCATTCCATTAAAGGCAGTGACAAATAGTTTCATATGCATCATTTTCTAACTTCATAGACCCAAGCAGCCAGTCTAAACTAATTTGCATGAACTTTTTAACTCTTTTTTTTATCAACTTTTAACCTAGCAACATCACCACAGAGCCAACTTGCTCTCTGTTTCTTTCTTTGTTACTGATTTAGTTGATTGCAAGTGGGGCGCCCTGCAGCCCTAGCCTAGTGGCTATAAACTCTATTTCCTGATGCGCTTTACTCAGGCCAATGAGGCGGAAAAAAAGACACTCAGATGATTCACTTCGTTTTGTCCTGTGGAGGGGAAACCTTTTATTGACAGGTTGAATTCCAAGAGCTGTCTAATAATAGCATAGAGCACTAACATCTCAAAGCTAGTTTCCCCTGAAATGGTGCATCCATCTGTAGCTGTATTTATACCTTCCTTTCAACATTGTGTAATGCATGTGTGTGTGTTCTGGCTTTGGCTTTTCCTAAGTGTGTATGAGCAGGATAGCCTGATACGCACATAGGAATCTGTGTGGAAATCTGTGTGACATATTCTAAGCTTGTTTTTCTAAAGTTGTTTCTTGGCTTATGCAGAGTTGAGTTGAGAATGTTATTACCAAGAATCTTGTTATTGTCAGGATGTGTACGTGAGCTCTGCTTTCCATGTTTTCCACTGTATTCACTGTGTGTTGCTAAGTTTGTGCTACACCTTTTACTGAAATATGTTTACACAGTGTGAAAACTATATAGATCCTTCAATAGCTCTGGAATAGATATCGCAGAGCTAGCTGGTAGGCCAACAGCTTCGCTTCCACTAGCTAACCAATATGACTGCTGCCATAAAGCTGTGCTTACTGAAACTTTCTTGAAAATTATTAAGCTTGGTGTCAACAAAATTTAAAAATTTGACCCAAAATGGCAGACTTCCTGTAGGTTTAGAGCATACCTCCATTAGACTTTTTTTCATCATTTTGCAACATCAAACTTGGTTAAAAAATTTCAAATCTGTGCGACTTAGAGTTTTCCCCATCTCACTCACAGGGGGCACTGTAGAGACATTTGACCACGCCCACTTTGAATTCCATTAAATAAGTAAATAATTAGGGCAGTAAAATGAACCAGGCCAACCATTCTCGGTCTCCAACTCTCTACATAGCAGCGGGATCAGATGAATGCTGATGTGTTTATCGTAGAATTACAGTGAGGACTAAGCTAGCAGCGTGCTAATGCAGTGAGCTGTATAAACTGGAGCTTGCCGGGTTTCTCTGGTTGTTGTCCATGTCTGCAGGCGACGCCGATGGGGACCCATTGGGCAGGTTTTGTGGGCAAAGTATCCCACCTGTCCCTATAGTAGTGTTTACTCCAGAACTCTGGGTCCATTTCCAGACCGACTCCTCACAGGGAGATTTGGGCTTCAAGGCCAAGTACTTGTTCTCAGGTAAGATGGTGATACCTTTCCTACCTAGCTACCAAATCTAAGCCCCCAGGGGCCTCAGATGAACATTTGTCTGTGCAGAATGTGGAGGCTGGCAGACAGGAAACGGCGGGGTGATATCCAGCCCTAATTACCCCGACCAGTACCCCAGCCCCAGTCGCTGCGCCTGGCTCCTGGAAGCTCCCGTGGGCCACACCATCACGGTGAGTCCTAAACCCCCCTACCTGCCTCCATGGAACCACCAGCGGTTACCAGTG